AGCTGCCGCGTGTGCGTCAAGGTAGCCAAGGATCCGGTCCCGCGCTCTTGGCCCTGGACTACGGACTGGGATGGGGACATCGCTCACTGTCTTCAGGGTGTTTGCCCAGGGTCTGGCTGGAGGAGTTCCCCCACCTTGCACATCCTGACCATGAATCAGCCACAGTTGAGAAAATAAACTTCAACTGGAGGTTGGCCTCCGGGGTAGCACAGTGTGGCTTGCAACCCCGCCTTGACGCTAGACTCTAAAGATACCCAACAGTGGAATAACGCAGGCCCTTGCACCCCACTGGCCGACCTAAGGGAGCGACACAGCTCTGTTTTTTTGTGGCAACATCTGTTAACCCCCATCCTGGGCAGGGATGCTGGGGATGAAGGTGATCTATAAGGAAAGCTGAGTGACCCCCATCTATGCCTTGGTGGACTCCCCGGAGGACCGTGCGGGTGGAGAGGGATGTATAGGTCTGTCTGTCCAGGCTCCTAACCACCCCGGGTCCCATGTCACATAGTGTCAGGCTGTGCACACTGGAAGCAGTGGCAAAAATGGCCCTGATCCTGTCTGGGCTCCGCAGGTCAATGCGTCCTCTCCAAACCCTGCACATCCACGCTGACGCTGGAGTTGGGAAGTCCCTCCTCAGTAGTCCTCCTGTGGCATTGGCCTTCTCTCGGCCTCAGTTCCTTCACCTACACTTGAAGGGTGGGGACAGTGGTGCAGACATGAGCAAACGTCTATATCTCTTCAGGGTGTCACCCAGGGCAGAGGCCATTTGAGGAGCAGACACTTGTAGCAAAAAATGGGTGTTTGTTCCAAGGCTAGGGACGGAGACTTCTCCCGTTGGCTCAGGGGCAGCTGCTCAAGTTGACCTAGCAGGGTCCTCCTAGGACCAGGTAGGAGTTGACCTCCTACCCTTTCCCTATGCATCTAGCTCCAGTCCAGCACTACCAGGAAGGGCCACCCTCCACCACCCTAGCTAGCAGGGGCTCTCTCTGCTCCTGAACAGCAATGAGCTAACCTTCAGGTGAGGCCCCTCACTTTGTGGGGGTGCTGACGGCTGTCGGAGCTAATTGCACACATCTCCCTGTGCTGGGTCCTGAAAGCACCTACCTTAAATAGATTCGTCACCTTCTACCAAAGTGCACTTGCCACCAAGGGAAAAGTTTTCAGGCTCATGAAAACTGTTGGGGGAGGCAGGGGAATTGCTAGGTGGCGGGTGCAGGTGCCACCTGTGGGTGCAGGCAGGCTGCTGCTGGCCCATTCTGGGCAGCAGTGGCGGCAGTCTCCGGAGTAGGTTGAAAGCCTGGGCTCTGTGAGGGTGCTAGTGCATTGGATCCCATGGTCTGAAAGGACAGTACCTGACTCCCCTACCTCTGTCTTGCATACAGCAAGTGTCCAATAGGTGCACAGTTCCTCAACCATTGGACTTCCTGTGTTAGAGGGCATGCTGGCCTCTTTCTGGAGTGATCTTCAGAGTCAGTGCCCATGGGGCTACCCATGGGGCTGCCCATAGGGCCATAAGAGAAGCAGGCTGAGGAGCATCTGGTGTGGACAGGGAGGAAGGACTCCCTGCCATTGGAGCTGAGATGGGGCCCTCTGTGTAGCCTCCATCCTGGTAGCCTAACCTAAGTGAAGAAAGTCTTGTTGAGAAAGTTCAGACAGCCTGGGCCTTGAGCCAAAATAGGATCTGTTCGGAGCTACCCACCTGCCCGGCACCCAGCACATGTCACCTCCAGCTGTACAGGAACTGGGTAGGGGACCGTGCCAGCTCCGTCTGCGTCCCCTTGTGCCCCTTTCCTAAAGTGTGATTACATTAGGAACAGGGCAGGGGCTGATCAGGGTCTCTCCTCTGCCGGGCCCCCCTCCATGATCCCCCAAGCGCTAGCCCCAAGCCCTGCTTTCCTTATTTCTCACAGTCTGTGAGCAGGTCTGTGTGCTGAGAGCAGACAAGCCAAGGACTGACGGGACCCATCTGGCCCTTTGGCTCTCACTCCGTTTGGAGAATGTGTGAGCTACTGTCTATTCTGACAAGAGGCACGTAGAACGCCTGTGTTGTAGGCATCAATTCCTTGTACCCACATTGCCCCTGGGGGGTGGTACCCTGTGGTGTGCCACACAAAGCCCTCTTTACCTCCCTGTCCGTTATTGTGGAGTTCTGAGGATGGGACCCTAATATGTGGCCTTCACCCTGGTAGCCTGACTTAAGTGACCACAGGGGAGCGTCTCAGGACTGGGCACTGCAGCCCAGAGAGTCAGATAGCCTTGTCCTGGTCAGGTTGCCCCTGCCTGGGTCACCCTCCACACTCCCTTTCCCACAGTGACTATAATTGGACCTGCTGCCCCAGGCCCCTGGGACCTGGGCTCATCGGACACTGGTAGGTGGAGTAGGGTGTGGCTGAGGCGGGTGTCATAGTTAGGGTTCCTGTTGCTGTGATAAGACACTATGACCAAAAAACAACCTGAGGAGGAAAGTTTTTTTTTGTTTGTTTGTTTTTGTTTTTGTTTTTTGTTTTTTTCATCTTACAACTCTCAGGTCTCATTTCATCACTGAAGGAAGTCAGGGCAGGAACTCAAGGCAGGAACCTAAAGGCAGAAACTGAGGCAGATGCCAGGAGGAGTGACACTTACTGGCTTGCTCCTCATGGCTTGCTCAGCCTGCTTTCTTATTATAGTGCCTAGGACCACCTGCCCGGGGATGGTACCACCCTCTGTGGACTGGGCCTGCCCACATCAGTAGCTAGTCAAGAAAGTGCCCTGTAGACGTGCCCACAGGCGATCTGACGGAGACATTTTGCTCAGCTGAGGTTCCTCTTCCCAGATCACGCAAGCTTGTGTCAAGTTGACGGCAAATCAGTCAGGACAGGGTATGCGCTGCAGCCCGGGACCCTTCACCACTATTTGAGGGCAGGATGGCCACGACTACTTTTCCTTCTGTACAAAGCAGACGTGGGACAGAAGAGGGAATGGCAGAGTCCAGAGAAGAGGCCAGGTAGCCTCGGCCAGTCTCCTGCCTCTGGCTCACTTCTATTGCATGTGGACTCCTGGATTGGGCAAATGGGCTTCAGGAGAGCAGGCTAGCCCCCTGCAGAGGCCATGGCAGAGTCAGAGTACCAGCCACAGCATTCCACATGTTTCCAGAGCTGGACTTGATCAGATCATCCCAGATCTACCTGGGTACTGTGTCCCCATGGGCTCGGCCTCACCAGCGTGTGTGGCCTGTGCTGACAGAGTTCAGGCTGACTGGGGTCTGGGTGTGGGGCTCTTAGTGGATGAGAGGCCAATGGGAAACTCACATGAAGGAATGGAGCCAACTCCAAAGCCAAGCACTAGGCCAGCCCAGGGCCCAGTGGGTCAGGAGAGACACACACCCCAGCATTCCCGACCGATGGTAGGCAGAGGCTAGTCTAGGACTATCTCTCAATAGCCAGGACCATCTCTCATAGTCCCCAGCAGCACTGAGAGGGCCGTTGGCCCTTGCTAATGGTAGGTATGGCCTGGAAGCCTCCAAACTTTGTAAAGTAACTGTCATATATGACTCAACCTCCCCGCCTGCTGGCCCAGGCCCCCTGGAACCCTGGGCTGTGCTCTCCACGTGCAAACTCACTCCCTCACCATCCCTGTGTCCTCATTCCTGTTCCAGGCACAGCTCTACTGCTGCCTGTACCCACATCAGGGAGGTAGACATCTGTTCCCGCCTGGCCCAGGCTGGGAGGAGGGTGCTACCTGTCCCGTGTCTCTCTCTGCCTCACTTCATGTGCAGACACGAGTGGTCTGAGAACATGACCCGCCCCCCTCCCCCGTCTCTCGGGGATACCTACACAGAGGGCCTGGGCTGTGGAGGTGTACACAGGAGTGGGGGCTGGGCCCTGGATGTTGCAGCTGGCTGCAGGGAGATGGGCTGTCTCTCTAAGAGCGATCGGAGATGAGAGGTCACCTCTGAGAAGAGCGAAGGGTAAAGCAATAGAGATGCGGTGTTTGCAGGCCTAATGGTTGTCATACGGACAGTGCTGGGTCAGCCAATCCATGCTGAGTGTCCAGGGCTCCCTGGTAACCATCCTGGCCACTGTACAAGTAAGAAAACCCAAGTCCAGAGTGAGCTGGTTCTTGCAGGAGCCCAGTGTCCTCATTTCCCAGCCAGTACTGTGAGCAAAACACGCACCTAGGCTGAGGATCTTGCTCTCCCGGTTGGGCCTGACAGGCTCCTTGGGGTCATGTGGCTGAGGAATGCTGAGCTGGAGCCCTGGAGACTGGGGCACTAAGCTAAGCCGATAGGCACTGTCAGGGCAGAGCTGACCCTGTGACCCTGTGTGGTAGTAACAGTAGTAACTCTTTTCTGGCGGTGATGCGCTTGTCACCGTATGAAGACAGAAACAGGAAGTCCTATGGGTTGGAGGTGAAGCCCTCCTCATTTGGAGGCAGCCTTGTCTTCTCCATGAGCCCGGCTGTGCTAGAGAACACAAGTGATACCCCTCCCCCCCCCCACTTTCTGTGTGTCTTTGTTCTCCTTGCCCCTGCAAGGGAAGCTTGGAGCTGGACACTGGCAGAGGGTGGAGCCTGTGATGTGGCATGTGGGTGGACAGGACAGCTTTCCCATCCTGGGCATGGACAGGCTGAGGACCAACTCTCTGAGGGCCAACCAGCACACAACAATTGCCATGTAAATCC